TGTAGGCGGATTCCGATCGCCTCGGCGGTAGCCAGAATGCTACTCCTAATCCCCTTAGATCAATGACTGCGAAATAGGAAGATGTATTAGCCTGTAGATAAGTCACTGCAAACGAGCTTGTTGGCTACTGCGTGTCCTTGTTGAAATATGGAGTTCCTTACGTTGGTTCTACCGGTTACCGAAAACAATTTTCAATATACTTAGAATAACTGTTCGGTTTGTTCTTATTGAACCGAAGGTTATTGCATGTATTTTTGTTTAGTGACCACGTGCCAAGTCTAGCAAATAACCTGACGGCTAGTTTATCGTGTTTCGATTAGTGTTCACGAAGGATCCGAAAGAGGACAGCATGATATGAGAGCATACACTCATTTTTCTTCTGGTCCCTCTCACCTTAGCGATGGTCACTGCACACCCCTTAGTCAAAAACTGAATAACAAACGATTGGAACCACTTTTTTATGTTCCATTTCTGTGTGGACTCCCTTGATCGTAATAGAGACATTTATATCCCCGGTCTCAATACCCCACCTATCCTCTTGAGACGTTAAGTAGTTCATTCATTCAAGCCCTATGATTGATAACATCCAAAAGCCTCAGCGTGGTCGGGGTGAGTGTCTAGGGTTGCGAATGGTCACACTTCCCTTGCACTTCGCGAAATGCTCCCATACGACCAAGCGTCTCGAATAGCCTCGGCTGAGAAAGCCCTACTCACTGCATTCCCGTGGCGATGTTTTCCTACCAAATTGGTCCATGAAGACTGGTTAGTACATTCGCAGAACTCAATTACTACCTCATCCGAGTTCTTCTCAGACACGCTCTCAAGTGGTTCATAAACAGGGAGTTTATTTTCCTTCAATCTTGTGACAAATTCACAATGGCGCAGTGGTTTAGTCTCCATCACCGATGAGCTTTGGTCTGAGGTTCGAGTCCCATCACTACCGAACTTTGGTAGTAGGCAGCTTTGCTGTCGTCCGGCTCAATACCACGCCTGTCCTAGCGGAGCTTTGTGTGGTTCGCCACTCCAAGTCCCGAGGTTTGGGTTGCCGGTTGCCGTCACTGAACAGCCGATCATCGTGATTATGGGGTTCACTCCGTCTGCTGCTTATCACACAGTGGTGTGTAATAAAAAAAATACTTGAACTTATTGTTGTTTTCGGTCACTTCAAGTAAATCGTTAATGGAGTACGATCAATACGACACTATGGTGACAGACAGTGAAAAGATGTCAAATGAGGAAAAGCTCTGGAACACATTCACCACGGCAGTTGAAAAGAGTATGGCTGAAAGCTTGTATAGAACTCTCTAACGCTTCAATAAAATACACTACAATATAAATGACAGTCTGAGTCGGGTGTTTCGGTGAACTGACTTTTGCCAATTCAGGTTCCGTTGAAATGCTGCCATTGATCAACCTGGGTAATCTCACTGACTTCTCATGGGCATCGAGCGAGAGTTCGGTTCACTGTTGTCAGAGGGCTAAAGCCAGTCGATAGAATTATATAGCGAATTGCTAAGCTTCCGGCAACTGTCTCATCCCATGGATTTAGAAAATCTTGAGTTTAAACCAACTGGCGGCATAAATGTCCCCCAGGACTTCTGAATGAGAAAAATAATAAAAATAAGTTTTCAGTCATTTATATTAATTTATTACTCAATAACTAGGACGGCAGAAGCGGGATTCGAACACACAAACTCCGGGATGCCGTTATGGCTTGACTGCTGCTCACCTTATTGAGCATTCCAAGTATCAGAGCTCTGTCTGACTGAAAACCGGTGTCAAACTGATTCTGGCCTGAAAAACATCGTTCGAATACATAGAAATCTCAGTTGAAATCTCGCAATGCGGTTCGACAGATCAGCATCAAAAGTTTGGACGATTTTATAGTCCGCAACAATGCTATTGCGATGAGAATTCACTCAAACTTCCCTTCCACACCCAATTACTTTTCCACTTTCCCAGATATTCAATTTTGCCGATCAATTTCAATGTTCGCACACACACACACACTTAGAATGTGCGCAAGGAAAATCGTTGTCTTGAGATGTGTGCGACCAAATTAAAAACGAATCCAAGGGATGTCAGAAAAATCTGTCGTAAACTCAATGGCCGGAATTCCTCTGTTTTCTCGAATATATGTGCAGTTCAGTTCAGTTGAATTCGCGTTCACTATCAGTCACTTATTCTCTTGCGTATCGCTCTGCTGACTGAGGATTTTCTCACAGACTATCATCGGGATGCACTTTGATTGTGTGTGTGTGTCCGTTGTGTGTCACAGAAGAACAAAAAGTATGTATAATCCAAAATCTAAAAGTTGGATTTGTGCACAAATAGATTGCCCTCGCGCGGTGTGCGTTTCAACACACCCACAGCGAACGATATGCCACTAAATACGAAATGTCAAACTAATCTTAGCTGGTTTTACAGCTTTCATTTACCGTTTGGCATCAATCTTGGTGAATATCACAATGACAGACTGAAACTTATTTACTATTCAGCAATTGTTTCCATTCACAATCATTGGTTAATGGATAAGGAAACCTTTGGATAGAATGGTTTACTTTTCAGTACCCATAATCAAATATCGTCGGGTAACTACCACACCAAACGAGTTTATCAACAGCCACAAAATGTTTCGATATCTGTCCCGCCCCCACGACCACATTCACACGCACTCTGAATTTGGTGGCTGGGATTTGACTTCTATCCTCAATAAACCAAGTTGGGGTTAGGGCAGGACCTGATTTTCTTCGTCACCATGGATAAGGACAATCGGTTTCGGACTGCCGTGAAGCGTGATTTATCTGCCGGACCCAGGAAAGGGTCAAATCACTTATGTGATGCGGACTGGAGCGGTTGTTTGTTACGCGTGGAGACGTGCAAACTTTAACTGACCTCTCCTTCAGACGCCCTAATCAGAACTTCCGAATCTATTCCGTAATAAACGCGCTTACAGCTCGAGTCAGAAGATGCTCAGTGGCCTAGTGGATAGCACGCTTGAGTTCTGTCCCGGGTTCGATCCCCAGTTAGGCCGATGGATGCGCACTGCTGATGAGACCCAACCAGGTTAGAACAGCTGTACAGTGATTCCTACCTTCTCAATCCACGATTCATTTACTCTATACACGACAAATTCCCTCCATGACACTGAATCAAATCCTCCAGTACACTCATGCAATATCCAAGTAGGCTGCTTCAAGTTATTACTATACACGGGGCAATGGAAAGGGGCTAAATGATAACAGGAACCCCAGAAATGACGCCTTTCGTGTCATCATTTTCAGCCAAACCGTGTAATAGGTCGCGATCATACTGTGGTACGATGCTCGAAGCGAAAACAGCTAAAACGCAGCCATAATCAGATTGAACATCAGAGAAAGGCAAGGGAAAATTGCTAAGTATGGTCTCCTCGAATTCCGTGAGTCCTGTATCGGAGATGAACACGGTACTCGCGCTGAACAACAATTTAGTGCAAACGGTAAAATAAAATCTGGAAACGGTCCCTTGAATAACTCACAAGAAAATGATAAGGCACTGTGGTGATCCAGGCTACGTGATGAAGCCTACCCTGGAGCGGTGCGTTACAGTTTCTGGACACCTGCGATCAATCGAATTTCAAAGGTGACGTCAATGACGCGCGTGCGCGTCAAGGCTCCGATTACACGCCATTGGTGGATCGTGTCAGCCAATTCGAGACAGTGCAGACAGAAGCAGAATTATGCAAGCCATACAGCAATATGATTGGTAGAAGCCTAGATAACCAATGACCTTCTTTTGTACATATTATTTAATCGCATTTATTTCTTCCAATACGCGAACTACGAGCTACCATTCCTGTGGCCTTTTCCTCGCGTCTCGTTCACGTGGGATATTGTGAGCTCATGCCATTGCGGTCCAGTACTTCCGTAATCCAGTCCGTGATAGCTGATCCTAAATCCGTGTCCTGTGATTCCTATTGCGTGGTTCGTATTTCGAATTCCGTGCGTACAACTACTACTACTACTGTTATATTCCAAAAAGGCGGTGCTGGTCGAGGAGAGTTCTTTATTGCAGAATACAGATTGAAGGTCACTAATTTTGCATNAAACATGCCTTCGCAGCACATCGCGACACATGGGGCAATGGGTATAGCAGGCAGTGTTTATTCTTCCCAAATATATTACTTGATTCTGGATGGTCTTGTTCTATTTTTAATCATTGAAAGTTACCGACTACTCACAAGTGAGTAGTATCTCACAACACTACTACTACTACTACCATCATGGCAGGCACACATTGCTCTAAGAAGTTTACAAACAGAAAAACTTCTATTGTGAACTGAAAATCAAATGACTTGTAGAACGACCGGAATTTCGTCAACTTTGAGAACGAAAATTATTTTGATATGGATGCACCCGAGGATTGAGGCGACTACTGAT